TTGTTTCAGTATATGACATTAGGCCATTGAGCAAAGTTTTTTTCACAAATATTTTCAATGAGAAACTTTTGGTTCACAAGTTTGACGGAAAACAGCTTAACTTAACAGTGTCTTCCTGAAATGGCATCACAGCAACAGCGCCTTCATTTGACAGGAAAAGCACCGGGAATTTAAATGTTTAAAGGAGTGCACTTTTCAATTGAGAAGGCGGGGTGACAAATATTTGTTATACATTTAAGAGGATTAGCAAAAATGCACAAAATATGTTCCCAAGTAAAGTTATTGTCATGGGCCCTTTAGACACTTAATTGGTGGTACTTAATATAAGAATAATAACTAATTCTTTGGTGTGGATTTTAGTTGCTTGTATTTTCCAAGAACTAAACCAAGCCTAATTATAAAAAACAACATGAATTAAGACACCTAAATGGTGATACTTTATATAAGAAACACAACTAATTCTTCCGTGTAGATTTTAGTTGCTTGTATTTTCCAAGAATTAAACCATGCCTAATTATAGAAAACAGCAGGATTTGTCTGGACACTCGTGTTTGAAAAAAGAAGAAATAGTCGCCATTTGTCAGTGACTCGGTTACTCAAACTCTTGAAAGTAATCATACTGTTCACCATCCAATGAACGTTTAAAACAGAAAATAATTGGCAGACAGTACAATTGACAGTAAGCAATGTTTGTATTTTGAGAAAGTTTGTCCTTCAGTGATGTTTGGGTTCACTGTTTTTATATTGATCATAATGACAATAAGAGATTTGATACATTGGTATTTTATATAAATCATTTTGGACTGAAATAAGTAAATGACACATAAAGTTTTATTGAGGAAAAGAAACAATTTCATCTCGTTTGTATTTGCTTTATAAAAAGATAGTAAAGGGGTATTACAGTAAAAACAAATCATATATCTATCAATTATATCCTAATCATCCCTCTCTTTAGAAAAAAAGGACACCACATCCCACACTACTGCAGGGCAGATAAGATATTAAATTAAAACCTGGGTTTACCCTCTTTCTTTAGTTTGTTTTCTTTTTCCCCTTGGGGGGAGTTCTTCTTAAGTTAACCTCCAATCTCAAGCTTGTCATGAAGCCCATCACAATTTTGAAAAAAAAAACTCCTCTTCTTTGCAAAACAGAGCAGCTTCAGGTCCAGCCACAGTGCTTAGACCCTTGTATATCATCATATTCATTATCAGTATTTATGTCATCTGGTAAGGAAACCAAGAAATCTTCAATAGCACCATAAGCACACTTGCTCCTAAGCCTGAACAAACCTGTAGAGAGAAGTCAATGTTTTTTCGTAGGTGGGAGGAAAACACCTATTGATATTCTTTATCAATAGAAAAAAATCACGGAATCGGGCAGGGATTGAAAACCCAATCCACATATTTGGATATCGAACCCGGGTCACAGCGGTGGAAGGCGAGAAAAGAAACCCTGCGCCAACCTGACTCCCCAATTGTGATTCTCCCCAAAAAACAGTTGTTTTTTTTCTGCAAACGCAAGAAGAAGTAGAGCATAGAGGGGGCCACGTTTCCATGCCCCCTCGGAATTGTTGTTATAAAGTAAATTGGTGTCTCAGCACGCAGAGTCTGTGTGCCCCCCCACCTCCCCTAGTTGATATGCACAATCAAGAATACAACATGAAATATAACTATTGCAAAGCACAGGTCCAGCACACGTTGTTAAATTATTCCTTGTTGTAAAGAATTAAAGGAATATTCAATATTCCTCATAACGTAATCCTAATCAATTTCTCATCTGTTTTACATATTTGCCAATAAGGAGGCGGATCCGGTCACAGTCTGTTGTCTGCCCCTAGCCCCGTGAGTGTGTCTCAAATACCGAACCTCCTCCGTATTGTCACCACATAGCGATGTGTGCTAAATTCCCTGAAAGTTGCGTTTCTTGAAGCAAGTCTGCTTTTCCCCACTTTGTATACACCCAGTGGCGGCGCCAGACTATAAACTTGGGGGCAGGAACGATTGGGGTATAGGAAATATTTGGGGGCAGTCAAAATTAAATCTAGTGATATCCAGAATCAAATGTACAATAACATTGGCTGCACACTATCTACGGCTGTATAAATGCATGTGTGATATATGTTTTGTCTACCAAAGTACCAATGCTTATAATGCTTTCACTGGCACAACATAATGTCAACAGAGGCGATGATTCCACTCTCTATCTTCAACTTAAATGAATCTTAACAGCGAAGAAAATAAACTTAATAAAATTAATCTATTTATAGATAAAGTGTTGAGGTAAAACTTGGGGGTGCCCCCAAAGCCGCCACTGTACACTACGGAAGCTGCTCACCTGGTTGAAAGCAAACTGGAAAAATCAAATTCTCTACGCATTTATGCCTAGCTATCCTGCAAAAAGAAACCAGGGAACACAACTTTTCTGGAGATTTAACATTGATATGCATGTGGTTAGTGGTGTGTGACTCTAAAAACGGAGGCAACCCAGTATTGGAGAGACATTAAGGCGATATTGTCGCAGTAGCCCCATAAATAATGTGCATTAGATAGATGACGGCCTACAGGACTTCCTCCGTACTGTGAGCCACATAAAAATATATGCAACATTTCCTGAAAAGTTGCTTCCTGAATTTGTAATCTATATTTGAAAAAGGAACACTCTAGACTTCAAATTCAGGAAACACGCTTTTCAAGGAGACTCCAACCTCCAATCCCCTGCAAACAATCCTGGATTCGCCCCTGCAATACAAGGGCACTAATATATTTATTTACGCAATTTTCCAAAAGTCCAAATTTGAAGTGTTTACGTCACTTATGCAAATGTTTACAAAGTCTGATGAAGTCTACTAGATAAAGCCAAATACCTGTGGGTTCCCAATGCACGGCTTCCGTCCATATTGGCTTCGGGAGTTTGAGGCATAAAGCTTAGGGGGATCAAGGCTCAATCCAGGCTCTTGTTCTTATTCAGCAACATAAAATGTTATAATACGAAACCAAAGTTCTAAGAATATCTATTTGGTTTGAAATTAAGAGTTGCAAGAGTGATTGTGAAGTCAGAGACGAAGCCGTAGCCTGGGATGACGCCGTGGTTTGGAAATACCCAAAAGATAAACCCTGATCTGGTGTCCTGCCTCGTCATTTACAAACCAATTGAAATAATACCAGGTCACGTGTAGTCTGTACTACCTTGCCATAGTTCATTATCAAAACGAAAATAATTATGAGGATCACGAGTTACAGATAATATCATAATTGTGTACATAATTGTACAGCCTATATAAATATAATACATCGCAGTAGGGCATCAAACGCCAGTTGAGTACGTGGACAATTACCAGTTAAGTTTACTTTCTGTGAGTGAATCTTCACATCTTTCTTCCAACGTCAAAGCAGTAAATATCAAGATGCCGCAAAAGACCATTCAGGATTTGGATGCCTACATTAAGGCAACAGCCGTTGTGTACGACCACTCCAACACCAAACTCGTCAGCAGGAAGACTAAAGTCAGCAGGCGTAGGAAGGAGGCGTTTCTTTCTGTGCTTCCATACAGGAAACCGTCGTCTCATTACCACTCCCATGAGAGAAGGACTTCATCATACCGCAAACCAAGAAGTAAACCTGCGAAAGAAAGGTAAGCGACTTCGTAACAGATCTACCTTATAGAAAAGTCGAGCTCTTCAAACACATGTATGTAAGTTTTTAGAGACCTTAACTCGATGTCACATCTCCGGGATTGACCCTCCTTAAGAGATTGGCCTTCGGCAGTCCCACCAATGCATGAAATGATTAGCATTCGGAAACACAATAGGAGATGATGCTTTATTTCCCAATATAGTGTTATTATTATTTCCCAATAATTAACAATATATTTACGAAATTTAAAAGCAAAGTCAAACGAAATGTATTGAAATTTAAAATGTCTGCTTGTAGACCTCTCGTCAGTGCTGTACATGTTAATACATCTGTCTAGAAAAACAGCGCAGGTCCAACGATGAGGCATTAATCCGCTTGAAACGTCTCGTTGTTTTTGTTGTTTTGTTGCAATGTTTGCCACAGTGGTCAGATGGGTGTTTCATAAAACGTGCAGTAAAATTGTTGACCAAAATGGTTGGCAACGTCTAGTTTTTTACTTGTTTTGGTTTTTAGACCGAAAAGGTATTGATAAATGGGAATAAATATGTGTTTTGGCCGGGCAACAACATTCAGCAAGAATATGATTTTGTTCCTTCTGTCCAACAATTTTATTGTACGGTACCTTTATTGTTGTAAAATTACAATCTAAAACTGCTTACTGCTGCTTTGCGTGGTGCGTTTTTGTGCATTATCCGAATATCAGGACAATTGCTGGGCAATAATTCCAAAAGTACATTACTGTTAATCGGGTCAAACTGCTGTGCGTTACTCCCAGCAGAAGGCGTTAACAGTAAAAGAGAGTGACTGTCCATTAACGGACATCGTTGAGCAGTTTTATCACTTAAAGGGAATGTACAGCATTTGCTTTTGTATCAATTTTCAGAAAACACTGGTTTTGGAGCATTAGATTGACATAGCAAATATTGTTGAACTGACTTGTTTCATGTTTTGGGCTTGTAGTTGACGGAAAAACCAAGAAAACCAGTCATGTTCTTGTAGTCTGGCTCCATGACCCCACTTAAGATGAAACGGATTAATGTATAGACTTTGGGGAATTGTTAGGTCGGAGAATCAGTCTAGCAAACTTGTACCTCTTCACAGGTGTATAATCAATTGCAAAAATTAGGTACAGTTTTTGAAAAAAACAAACAGTTTTTTCTAACGCTGGTCGGCCGACCAGCGTTGGAAAATTTTTTGTTGAAAATGTCAGCACACCAGGAGCCACGATTTTACAGGATGCTCTAGACTTTCATTCCCTAACAATTCAGTAAGGTATTCCGTGATAATTTCGTCGCAGGTTTCACGAAGTGACGTTTTACTCAAAAGTCTGACTTTTTATGAAAATGGGTTTAGTCACTATTTGGACTGGAAATACATTTATCTCTCTTTCTACCAAGTCTCAATCCTTAAATCTGTTTAGTTTTGCAAATAAAGTAAACAAGTTTTTATATAATCTAAGTAAACTGAGTTTTTTCGTTTTTACGAAGTGGCGGTTCAAAAGATGTCACTTCGTGAAAACTAATGTGACAGCGACCTCTCGCGTAAAGGTTTTCACGAAGTGACGTGACAAGCTCGATCTCAGGTGCGCTTGTGTGGTATACCATGCTTCGCTTTCAACAATGAGTACGATGTTGTTCTGTTTACGCGACGGACAAAATGGCAGCCTCCATAACAGGGTTCCACAGATTGCCGTGGTACGTATTGTTTATGGATTTAAGATAGTTGCCTTTTGATTTAACAGCTTGGTAAAACAACAATAGTTTCACATGTTTAGTCCGTATTGTATGCAGTTAATCATTCCGCAATGACCATTGCCCAATGTCAGGATCTTGCTCACGAATCACGGGCATGACGGGGTCTTTTCTTTTCGCCAGCGCCAAACAGCATTCGTCTCTAGGGGGGTCAGACAAGTCGACCGTTGAGACAACTCGACTCGGGACAAGTCGACCGTTGAGACAACTCGACCGTTGAGACAACTCGACCGTATGTGCGATAAATGGAAAGACAAGTCGACCGTTGAGACAAGTCGCCTCGCATGTTTTGTGCCTAGTTTTGGGGATAGTACAGGGGATTTTTGACGGCGGCTGATCGCCGTTTGGGAGTGATGACACATGAGGGTTTTTTGTTGCATATAACAGAGCCGATATAGCGCAGCATGATTGTTTTTGCCGGGCCTGTTCGTCCACCGCTCCACGTGTATACATTTCCATTAAGTCGAGCTGTCTCAACGGTCGAGTTGTCCCGAGTCGAGTTGTCTCAACGGTCGACTTGTCCCGAGTCGAGTTGTCTCAACGGTCGACTTGTCTGACATTCGTCTCTAGGCCTAAATAAAATATAATGAGATAGGCCTACTACTTTACTTATAATTAGCAAATATATATTTTATTATATGATAAGCCCCATAGAAAAATAGTGCCAATCCACTGAGGGGATTGGCACTATTTATACAGCTAATAGGCCTACATGATGATCTAACGTTACTATTTGCTTGTGTTTCTTTTTACTATACAGATTTTTATCAGTTGTGCATTGTCAGGATGAATAAAAAGGGAACCAAGAAACGGTAGGTTTTAATGATGCCACTGTATTTATTTCCTTTTGATATTTCAATTACATTATGATTATGCAGGATAAAAGGACAAAGACAAGATTGATAGTAGACCCGTGAGCGTGGCGGTATACACCGCCACGCATACATCTCATTGAACAGCTTTCGATCGGCCAACATCGGCGGGAATAGAATTTCTGTTTTGAATCCCGAAATTTAACGAACATTTTTATGACCAGTACTTACACACGTCAAATAAGCCAATATTTAGTGCAAATGGTAATAATATTTTGCACTTCTTGTGTTTGTTAAGTTGCAAAGTCAACAATCTGACAATTAATTAGTAATGATTTATTATTGCTTGCCTTAGCTACTGCGACCGTTGACGTCAAAATTGCAAAAGAGGAGTACAGCACCCCGGCCCAGTTGTTGGTTCTGGACTTGCCTACATTTGGGGGGGGGGGTCTGAAACATCTGTTGCATATTAACCAGAACAATTCCTCACAACTATGAAACAACTTTTGTGGTCTTTGTAAGGGAATTATAATTTGTAAGAAAGATGTAAGTTTGTCTGATGAAGCATCATCAGGTGAATGCTGGATTTGATACTATACTTATACTGTTGATATAACACAATACTAGTACTATAATAGTATTTTTCATGCATCGTTACCTATTTCAGTTTGGATGTGCTTGTGCAATGGGATCATGACTCCACCAAAAATGTTGTCGACTTAAGTGACTTGTCATGTGATGGTCATCTGGGAGTATCATCAAGGGTTGTCATGATGTGGGAGGGAACACCTTGGTCTGGAAAAGTTCTAGATATTGATGAAGATGAACTTTTTGATGCAGATGACGACACTCCCTTGGCTTTTTACAAATCAGGTATAACTAATAATTTTTAAGAATTTATACCTTTTACCTTAATACTTTTATTATTAATACAAAGAAACAAAAATTAAAAAAGATAAAAGGCTGAATGTAAGATTTAAAATTATTCTTCTATTCTACGTAATTAATTTGTAGGTAAAGTTGGATGTGCAAGTTCAAAGGCAGCACCTAATTCACAGATGGAAAATGACATACCAATTATCCGTTGTGCTGCAACTACGGCTCAAGTGACACCGGCCAGTGGGACTCCAACGGCATGTAGTCCACAGATTGCATCTACGCCTCAAGGTGCACTTAGTTCTTTGACACCATGCAGCCTGAAGACGGCATGCAGTCCTATGACTGCGCTAAGTTCCCAGACTGCAGCTGTGCCTCAAGTGCCACTGGCCAGTAGCACGCCTACTGCATGTAGTCCGCAAAATGCAGCCGTGCCACTGGCCAGTAGCACGCCTACTGCATGTAGTCCGCAAAATGCAGCCGTGCCACTGGCCAGTAGCACGCCTACTGCATGTAGTCCGCAAAATGCAGCCGTGCCACTGGCCAGTAGCACGCCTACTGCATGTAGTCCGCAAAATGCAGCCGTGCCACTGGCCAGTAGCACGCCTACTGCATGTAGTCCGCAAAATGCAGCCGTGCCACTGGCCAGTAGCACGCCTACTGCATGTAGTACGCAAAATGCAGCCGTGCCACTGGCCAGTAGCACGCCAACTGCATGTAGTACGCAAAATGCAGCCGTGCCACTGGCCAGTAGCACGCCTACTGCATGTAGTACGCAAAATGCAGCCGTGCCACTGGCCAGTAGCACGCCCACTGCATGTAGTCCGCAAAATGCAGCCGTGCCACTGGCCAGTAGCACGCCTACTGCATGTAGTCTGCAAAATGCAGCCGTGCCACTGGCCAGTAGCACGCCTACTGCATGTAGTCCGCAAAATGCAGCCGTGCCACTGGCCAGTAGCACGCCTACTGCATTTAGTCCGCAAAATGCAGCCGTGCCACTGGCCAGTAGCACGCCTACTGCATGTAGTCCGCAAAATGCAGCCGTGCCACTGGCCAGTAGCACGCCTACTGCATGTAGTCCGCAAAATGCAGCGGTGCCTCCAGTGACATTTAGTTCTTCAACACCATGCAGCCTGAAGTCAGCATGCAGTCCTAGGTCTGTACTAAGTTCCCAGATTGCATCACTTCCTCACACTAGTTCAGGGTTACTAATGTGTCCACCTTTGCGCTCCCACTCAGTTTCTCGTCTCCGGCCAGAAGCTTCATTCACTGCACCAATGCTTAGTCAACAGCCAATGTCTTGCGACAATTTCTTTTGTGAAAAGGAAGTCTTTTCGACATGCAATACATGTCTGTGTTTGCTATGCTATGATCATTTTTTGCTGAGTGATGTCTGTAGTTCGCACAATGTTTTCTTTAATGCTGTACAGGTTGATGCCGATTTGTCTAACCTTGATTTAGCAAGTCTACCCATAGGTAGTTCTAGAAACATTGAAGTTAACAATGCCAGCATGCCAGAATCTAGCCAGGTAAGTTGTTCAAGTGGGAATATGTTTCCCGAAGAAGAAAGTGCTAACACAGACAACGTAAGTAATGTTACAGATATACATTTGCCAACAAGATCTGTAAGTGCATTTCCTGATCATGGTACACAGAAGTTATCAGATTGTGCCCCAGTTGGTAATACAGGTAAGTCAAATGAAGGACAATCTCAAACACCATCTACCAGTGTCAACTTGAATGAAGGAAACTTATTTCCCAGTGACTTTCCAGTTGATGGCGAGGCAATGCCATTCTCTTCCAAAACAACAAAACCTATCAAAAGCAAAAACTTTCTGGTGAAATATAAAAGGAATCGTGGTGAAAGTTACCGTTCAGAAAAAAGTGATTGTGAAGTGTCTGCAAGGAGGGAAAGTAATATTGCCAGCACTTGTGAATTTTGTCCAATTCGAAAATTGGATTGCCATAAGATTTCAGATGAAGACTGCAAACATATTCGAAACACTTACTTTGATCTTGGTAGCCTGCAGGCGCAAAGAGAATGGCTTAGTCGCCATATAGAGGCCAAGGAGGGAGTAACAAAATGCTCTTACTTTCTGCCCTATTCTGATCGAAATGTTGGGAAAAGGATGGTGTGCAAATCTAAGTTTTTAACTACTTTGGGTATATCTGAACGCCAGGTTCGCACTGTGATTCAAAAACGAAAGTCATGTGGAGTACTTGAAGGTGAAAAAAGAGGTAAGAGGCAACGAAAAGAACACGATCAAGCTATCACAGATGAGGTAACTCAACATATTAATCTTTTCCCACGTATGGAGTCCCACTACTGCAGATCAAACAGCAAGTGCCATTACCTTTCTTCAGATCTGAATATACCAACCATGTACAGAATGTACCGAGAAACTCATCCAGAAGGTGCTTCCCTCTCCTTCTATAAGACTGTTTTCAAGTCTCTAAACTTGAAATTCCATCATCCGAAAAAAGACCTCTGTGGTCTTTGTGACTCCTATCGGCATGGTGATCCTCAACAGAAAGGCAAGCTTGAGGAAGCTTATACAAGGCACACAAAGGAAAAAGAAAAGGTGCGAGAGCTGAAGACAAAGGCTAAAGAAAGAGCATCAAAATCAAAAGACTACTGTGCTGCCGTTTTCGACTTGCAGCAGGTCATTTATGTACCTCAATCTTGTAGATCAGAGCTATTCTACAAGAGGCGTTTGGCATGTTATAACTTTACGGTGTACGATCTAGCAAGTAGAGATGGGTATTGTTTTTTGGCTCATGAAGGCCAAACAAGAAGAGGATCTTGTGAAATTGCCTCCCATTTGAATGCATTCTTGCAGAAAATGGACAATCTTGGTTTCAAAGAAATGGGTTTGTTTTCAGACGGATGCTGTGGTCAAAACAAAAACTCAATAATTCCTACAATGATGCTTGAGTTTGTTCAGCAGTCTAAGTCACTCAGATCAATAACACTACATTTCTTCGAGACAGGTCATGGCCAGAGTGAGGGAGATTCCATGCACAGTGTCATTGAGAAGGCTCTTAAGCAGACTGGGGATATTGGTGTACCTGCTCAACTTGTTCCTATTTGCCAAATGGCCAGAAAGAATCCCACACCATATAAAGTCATACAGGTCCAAGCCAAAGACATAACTGACTGGAAGACATTCAGTCAGAGGAAAGGTGTGTTGAAGGTACGTACATCGGAAGAAGGAATCAAAGTTGAGTGGCCAAAGTTCATGCAGCTTAATGTTGAAAAAGCTGATCCTGATATCATCAGATTTAAATTTTCCCATGCAGACCACCAGTTTGCTACTCTGAACATAAGCAATGCACGCAGAAGTGTGGAAGATGAAACAATCACCCCGCAGCTTCTCTATTCATCTGGGCCGCCAAAAATATCACAAGGCAAGTATGACGATCTCAAGAGTCTCTGCACAGGTAACACGCCAGTAATTTCTCATGCAGATAACGTTGCATTTTATCTCCAGCTTCACCACTGAAAGCTCTTTCATTTCCTATGATGCTCATTCAGCATCAATTATTTTCTGCATTCTAATGGAAAGTGTTCATGCTTGTCTGAAAGACAAGGTAACCTCATCTTTATAACTCAGCTGCCAATAAAAGGTGTTTTTTTTCTTGCTCAGAAGGCCAGTCATAACGAAACAATGTTTTTGCTGTTCAACAGGTAAGTCTGTCTGAAGAAAACATTTAAGAAACAGTTAGCCGCTGTATTACACACACATAGCAACTTTGTGCTTAATTTTAATCAGAGAAGTTCTGCAGGAAGTATATAAGCTGTTCGATGGATATTTGAATATTTTGGCTGTTCACCAGGTAAGTCTGAAGAAAAAATTGAAAGAATATTCTAAATTTTACACAATGAAACATAAGAAATTGTTACTATCATGTTGCAAGATGTTGGCTGTTGGTTAGCGTTTTAAAAATTGTAGATCTTTATGAAAATGATTTATTGTTGGCATTATTTTAGCAAACCGGGTGTATGTGAAGCAGGATTTTCCGGAAATATTAGCTACTTTATTGTTCGCAGATTCAACCATTGTTGAGATGACATGAGATGGATGAGAGTACTTTATTCATTTGCGTAATCATTTCGAATGGGTTGTGACAACTGATCACATGGCAACTATTTAGTTATTTGGAAACAAGGTTGTTAATGTTGACATTATACCTTAGCCTAAGCAGTTTGTACTCATTTAATGATTTTACGATTTGTACAGATTACAGAAAATAATTTATCAAAGTGGTTAACAGGGGAAAACAAGAATCAAATGTGCATATACCATGATTGCGTCAACTGAACCAGTGTCATATGGCTTTTAAAATGTATATAAAATAACTCGTATTTTCAAGATACATTACTCATCTAATTTTGTTTCACCTTTAACCATCCTAAATACCAGGTCTTCAAATTGAATTCATTTGCATTTCTGATTATAATGTCAACCCACCAATGTGATCTGCTAAAGTACAAGTAAAACCTGCAATAACATGAAATAATGTTTTTTTTAACAAACATTCACTTAAAAAGGTGAAGCAAAACAAGTACAATTTTATTTTTGTCGAAAATGGCTTTGTCAAGAAAATGTTTACTCAATAGGGTAGGTTTATCAATTAAACATCTGAAGACCTCGTCGTACATAATAATTTATTTGATACTTTTATTTAACAACTCAAATGAATTTATATTTAAAGGCAGGATATACTTTTGGTAATTGTCAAAGACCATTTTCTCCCTTGGTGTATCCTTCATGCCTGAAGCCTTTCTCAGATTCAAACTTTGGGGTGAAAAATTACCTCTTTCTCTAAAACTACATTACTTCAAAGGGGGCCTTTTCTTACAATGTTTTTTAATATCAACAGCTCTCCAGTGCTCTTTACCAAGTAAGTTGCCATGATCATTAACTTGTGGAGTAGTTACCAAACGTACACCCTGCCTTTAAAAGAAATTGTAACTGAATGAATTTTGTTTTTACACTGCTTATGAAATCTAGATTTTAAATAATTTTTATTATTAAAATCTGCTGATAAAAAACACTGATAATCTTCAAAATATTTTGCATTACATCATATCACTGCAATGTCTCACTAATGAATTGTTTAAAAAAAAAAAAACTTAAACCATTTTGGAGCTTGTGATTTACATGAATTTGTTGTTATTGAAATTTAGAAAACGAAATTGTTAACAAATTCATTAAAAAAAGAGAGGTGAAAATACTTGCTTCGACTCTTCTTTGTTTTACACCCCCACCCCATGGTTGTTTCTGTGTATTGTGTTTATGAAGTGTAGTCGTTTTTTTAATGATACCCCGGCAGTTCACATGACTTATTTCTTCGCTATGGTTATCATCCCCGCAATATCTTAATTATCAGGCATGTTAAAGACAAGACATTTTAGGTACTTTTTTTCCACTTAAAATTTGTGCATAATGAACAACCAAAACAGCTAAAAGACAACTCGACCCAATATTATCTCTTAGTTTTCATGAAGTGACTGTTTACATACGGGCAAGCCGGCATCTGTTTTATGCGTACAAGACAAGTCGACCCACTGACATTTGGTTTTCACGAAGTGACACTTTGAATACGGGCAACGCGGTATGTGTGTGTAAACGTTTTCACGAAGTGACACTTTGCATACGGGCAACGCGGTGTGTGTGTGTTGGGGTTTTCACGAAGTGACACTTTGAATACGGGCAACGCGGTGTGTGTGTAAACGTTTTCACGAAGTGACTGTTTGGATACGGGCAACTTGCACAGTGCGCGCTGTGTGTTTGTAAGTTTTCACGAAGTGTCTTTGTGCTTTATGAACGACTTCTCATTAACTGTGAAATTGTTTTTATGAAGTAAGTATTTGGCTAGATTATTTAAGGTATCAACTTTCATACACTCATTTTGGGGGAAATTCCCCATGACACAAATCCGTCAGAAAAGGATATTAAAAGATCACCAACTTCAAATGCGATTATTTCTAAATCACGTTTTACCTCTGTGCGGTCGGTCGCGTCAGTTCGTGAAACCTGCGACGATTTGATCATTTCGTGTTTTATATGTTTGCAAATGTTGTAAATTCCCTTTAATGCTTCACAAAATGACTCTCCCTCTTCAAATTATGTGATACCAGTCATCGAAAGTCATCACACATGCCTTCTTTTCTTTCTTTTTTTACCAACGGCGATAGTTTGTTTTGTTTGTTTATAGATACGAGAATGATTTAAGGTTTATGAGAGAATTGGGCTTCATAAAAAAGTATCTGTGGACGGATTGATAGAAGACTTTTCCACGTTTAGGGGACCTTAACACTATGGGTAAAGGAGTTTTAGGGGACCTTAACACAATGGGTAAAGGAGTTTTAGGGGACCTTAACACAATGGGTAAAGGAGTTTTAGGGGACCTTAACACAATGGGTAAAGGAGTTTTAGGGGACCTTAACACAATGGGTAAAGGAGTTTTAGGGGACCTTAACACAATGGGTAAAGGAGTTTTAGGGGACCTTAACACAATGGGTAAAGGAGTTTTAGGGGACCTCAGCACAATGGGTGAAGGAAGTTCTCAATTTGGGAAGATGATTTGCAGATCGAGGACTATCCACGAAGATTGAAGATCGAAAAGTGAATTTAGTATACACTGTTCAGAACTCTAACAGATTAACAGAAGGAGACCATTTTAATCAGCTAAATAAAAGGAACTTGGTAATGATTGCTTTCCTAAAGTGAAAGTATTTTAAGAAAATTAAATAAAGTGTGTTCTCTTTAGAATTAGTTCGCAAGGATTCTAAAAGGTCGTTTCTGGAGGTTCGTCACGTTGGTTAGTCTAGATAAAAAGTTCGAAGCCAATAAATAAGATTGGAATACTTTAGCCATACTAAAGTGTTCAGAGGGCATTCTGAAACACGTAATAAAGCATCAATCACCTCCATACGAAAGCAGTGGACTTAGAATGTGTCTATTATATATAATTTTGTTAAGATGAATTTTCGGTTTTAGTAACGCTAAAAATGATTTATTTAAGATTTAACGCACCTAATAAACACGTTTATGCCTTACACTTCAGGGTGAATATTTTGAAACACTTTCTGAAGAATCTTATGATCAAAATGGATGTGTGTCAGCCAGTGTTGTAGTCGAGGCCACAACCTCCGAGGCCAAGGCCGAGGCCACAACCTCCTAGACCAAGGCCGAGGCCGAGGCCACAACCGCGTAATAAAATATAAATCACTAAAACAAGGCTAAGATTATGTTGGAGTTTTAACATCTTTTTAGTTGAATTCACTGAGTTTTGGAGTACCCGGCTTACAAATTTACAGCTTGCAATGGGTTTCCCCTTGAAGGGAGTCCGGCAAATTTTAAGAAAGAAATCTCAAGGTTTTTTTTATCACAAAATTAATGGCGTTTGAATCAGGCTCATATGTGTTTGCCCTGTGGAGTAAAATGGCCAAATTTTGAGTTTCTATTCTGTAAGATTTACATCATTTACTTTTAGCATGTTTTATAAATCTTATTTTCAAAACCTATCAAAATGCTTAATATCATAGAAATCCCCATCAAATAAACAACAACTTGATTTTTGAATCAGGTTTTTATCACTCATAACCAAAAAGTTACGACCCCCCCCCCGACCTTCGCACTGTCCAGGCGCGCGCCGAGCAAACACCGCGATGTGCCAGACGTCCCACCGTTACGCACGGGCAAAGCATAGTTCCAATCGTTCCAATCCCCCGCTCCACACAACGGGATGTGTCCACGCATTATCACTGTTAATACCGCGGTACCAGACAAAGTCTGGCAATGGCCAATCCCGCTCCAAACAACACGGCAACACGGAACATGCGTGTATGATATCACTCAGTTCATCAAAATGACCATGAATTCTCGGATCATCCGATTTGAATCCAATGGCTTCGAAGAATTTTAAGATCATGGCAAGAGGTAGGGAGTCCAGAGGTTTTGGCCGTATATCTGTAACAAGGCAAAATTAGTCAATTTCAAACCGTGCTTATACATGTAATAAATATCAAAATGGCTCTAAAAATACAAAAAAAAAGTATCCTGGTACCACGAGGAATACCGACTCCTATTATTAAAACATTCATTCAGAACTTTGCATTCATTAGGATGGAAAAACGAATTCTCAAATCGCGCTTTCCATATCGACCATTTGCGCCAAACATTACCGTGTGAGCCGAACTTTCATTTAAATCAACGTGTAAAAATATAATCTACTTGATGAATCGTATGTTTTTTTTCTTTTTCATATCTTTATGAGAAAATAAAATGGTACGGACTAGTACACTCGATCGTACCCAGAAAGTTCAGACTTTTACTGAAACAGTGGCTTATAAAAAGATATGATTAAGCTCGCCTCACCTTGCCGCAAATCATTTTTAAAGGTCGGTGTACATAGGCGAAACGAGAAAATTGTGCACAACCTGCAACCAGACTAGTCTACTACCACATGCTATTGTACGCAAATGGGATTGATGCCAGACTTATGTAGTCTGGCACGCGGTAAAGCCCCTGTCACACCTTTGCGTATCCTAATTCCTGATGAGTTCCTTATCAAAATGTTCAATACGCAGCCGTACGCTCAATTAACGTCGACATGTTTTGATCACTTTAACTTATGTGCGACGCACATCTAGCGTACAAGTAACGAATTCAGCGCATCCATTGTGTATGAGATACGTATGAGTTGCGTATGCAGTGCACAACATTATTTTTCGGGCTGCGAATAGGTCAGTATGCAGTGCGCATGCCGAGCGTATTCCGGACGCACCTGACTTATGCCGATCGCATGCTTGACACACTTCTGAGCGTATTCCCGCCGCATTTCCACCGCTCGCCGTTTAGCGTGCGTTGCATCTGCGCTGCAAGTATGCTATGTATACGTCCAATACAGGCGGCTCATAATGTTGACGGGGTGCGTCACGAACACATAGCGTACTCGTAACGCACTCGACCGATGCGGGACCGATGCGCTGCGTATGTATAACTTATTACCTGCGTAACAGCGTACGCAGCAGTGGCGTCACCACGGGGGGGGGGCGTTGTTTGGCGACCGCCCCCCATGAACCTTGTCGCCCCCCCCCCAGTCGCCCCCCCCCCCCCACTGAGATTTAAGTTTCTAAAAAAGTTATCATTGATCTAAATCTAAATAGCCGCGAATGATCCACATGATGACCACTGAGAAACGACCCTTCGACCGGAAACCGCGGACAAGTAAGCTGACAATCGGCGTGACATAACGCATAATGATAATTATATTAACACCCACTGCACTGCTCGCTCACACCACGGAACACGTATTATAGACAGGTGGTTCGTGGGTCACCCAGTTTCAGTCTGTGATATCACGCGAATCGGCCATGCACAAACTTTTTCCTCCATTCATATAAGCTAAATAATAATAATACACCAATTAAAATTCCTTGAAATCAGTGGCGTAGCCACGGGGGGCCGTGGGGGGCGACAGCCCCCCCCCCCCATGAAACCTTGTCGCCTCCAGTCGCCCCCCCCCCCACTGAGATTTTGAGTTTCTAAATAAATTATCATTGATCTACATGATCCTGGGGGGACAGGGGGACTGGTCCCCCCCCCCCCCCACCCACTTATTGAAGGGTGGGGGACACAATATCAAATGTCCCCCATCCCCCCAAGATTTCTCGTGTCTCATTTACCGGGCCCTATTATGTACTACAATGTATCTTTTGCTTTGAAAATATTGGTTAAAGTGGTCAGAAATTGCCTCAGATAGCACCACAGAGCATTTAGAATCAAAATTTTAGGGGCCCTTAAGCGGGCCCCGAACCCCACGCCTATAGCTCAGAATTCTGATAGCTGATTCAATGACCCCACACCTAGAAAACAATGTTCAACAATTTTTCCTATGCCTTTAGCTGAGAAAACCTCGAAAATAATGTTTAAATTATGATCTTTTGTGCTAAGGTAATTGTTGGTAAGAAATTGCCTCAGATCACACCACAGAGCATCGAGAATCCAATTTGTTTCGGGGCCCTTAAGCGGGCCCCGAACCCCCACGCCGTAAGGGCTTCGCGCTTCGCGCTCGCATCAGTTCTGATCAAGGTATGTCCCCACCCCCACTTTTGAGAAGCAATTGACGCCCCTACATGACGCCCCCCCCCCTCATGAAATGTTCCAGCCCCCCCCCCCCCCGCCCAGCGACCCCCCCCCCGGATTCGCCGAGGCCGGAAGGCTCCGAGGCCGAGGCCTTGCACCTCCGAGGCCAAAGGTCGAGGCTAAGGCCATGAAAATCAGCCTCAAGACCTCCAACACTGGTGTCAGCTATGAAAAAGAAATCCTTTTTTT